TGGGTAATCTCGTGCCCAATCACCACGCCTATCCCACCGTAATTCAGAGACTTGGGAAAGTGCTGGGAGTAGAAGATAGGCTGGAGAATGCCCGCTGGAAATACTGAAAACATATTCATGGAAATTTAAATCTCATCCGAGAAGATGTGATTTTTTGGTGACATTCGAAAAAAAAAACAATTGTTTTAAAAATACAGAAGCTGTCTGTACCAATATCATTTTTGTTCGGATGATAGAAGGCATTCACCACTGCTGGCTCTGTTGACCATTTATCTTTATCCACTGGTTGTCGAAGTTTCTGAAGATTGTGGTGAGCATCGTATTTCAAAACAGCAAAAACATTCTCGATAAAATGGTCCTCAGTGATATTCAGCTAGATATTAATAATAAAAATATCAATTTTAATCTTGATGTCGAAAGTTATTTTAGTGCGTAATATAAATTCAAATCCATAAACGTGCCATCAAATATTCATTTTCCAGTTCCACCGAGTTCCTCAAAAAATCGGGATACCCAATCCTCTCGTTCATAGAATCAGCTTTGCTTTTGGCAACAGCTCGTGTTTCCTCATCCATCCAATGATTCTCTGCTAGAAGTTCATTGAATGCCTCGCGAATCGTGTGAATCATCTCAAGAGCAGTCACCTGCCAATCGATTGATCAATTTCAATATAAAATGAAATAATCGGGTAATATGGGACTATTTACTTTGCTCTCGTGATTGAAATTATCTCGGATGAATAAGGCCCCAACGGCCATTCCCAATTTCTTGTTGGTCCACTCGACGCACTGGGACCAGCGATTTCGTTCGCTCAAAATTCCTGAGAGAATTTTACGGAATTCCACACGTTTTTGTTGGTATTCGTCGATCATGTGGGGCATTATTGACATAACTAACCGCCAGAGAAGATAATTATGAAGAGTTCTGCGCAGAAAATATATATTTACCCTTTAAATTCAATTTTTGAATATTTATCTTCTTTCTTATCACATCAAATTCACTATCAGCCCCAATACTAGGCAGATGATGAAGACAAATAATTCTTATCTCAATAAAAAAAACAAATCTTCAATTTTTGCTTTTAAAATCCAATAGTGCGGTAAATTATTATAACATTTAACCTTCGATCGGTTTTTTCGATGATTCTCCCCATCTGGATTAGATATGAAATTGCATAAGACACAACGGGTTCATCGTCAGTGAATGCTGAGGCATTTAAAAATTGCTGCAGATAAAGTCTCCATTTGATTTGTGGAATTCTACGTTGCAATTCCTTGAGCTTTAATTTCTGATAAATCAGGGATGTGTCGTGTCTGTCTGCCTCTGGCATTGATGCATTAGCTAATTCCTTTTCGAGGTCAATCACGTACTCAAACTCAATGCGAGCTCTTTTTGGTTCTGCACCCAGAAGTACTGACACATTCGTCATGTAATTATGGTAAGCACGTAGCTCTCGCTCGCTGCTCGAATTCAAGTAGTAATCACGACTCGGTAATGCCAACTGCATTTGATCCAACTACAACGAAATGGAATATTTTTATTGAAATTTAATGAATGGACAATTTTTTTTTCAGTGGTGCTTCAAATTTCTCGATCGATTCATCCCGTGGCAGATGAATGGAGATAGGCGAAAATATCATAATGCAGCTCATAAAAATTTTTCAATCGTAAAGTAAAATTAATTCTTCCTAATGCACAACAACAATTGATAGTAAATTATTATTAAAAATTATTTAAAATCGTTTGAAATAATATTAAATCATTTGAAGTCAATTAACATCAAGCATTTCAAGAAATCACGTGAACACAGTAATAGTTGATGACGAATAACTCCTCGATATTTTTCAGATGATTGGAAATTGAAGGAATAATTAATGGATATTGACTTGTTTCGCCAATTTCCCGATTGATTTTACTCTAAATTAAAACCATGAGCCATTCTCTACAGTCTTACTTTGGCGGCGCACCTGGAGGATGTTGGTCGAGGAGTTCTTATCATCGGGACCAACCCACGGCTCCATCAAGGCCCCTTCATTGAAATCCGCACGCAGTCGTCCGAGAAGAATTTCAATGCTCTGGGGCGGTGGCTTCCAATTGTCTCCTTCAACCACCGGCCATCCTCCCAATTCCTTAAGGATTGCTTTCAGTGGAACATCCCCAATTTTTCGAATTTGAGCTAGAAAATTATTGTCAACCATCGACAACTTATCAACTATAATTACCGGAATTATCATTGGCTCATTCATACATACACAAGGACTTCATAAATAAAAGATTAAGTCAATCAATGCAGAAAATCCGGTAATAACCGCATATGTGAGAAATCAAAAAATATTTTCTCCAAAAAAGTCATTAATTGGTATTTTTTTGATGAGCTCCGCGTCCGTATGAGTGGAAAATTCATAAAAAAATCATTTAATAAATAAAAAAAGTACTAAGAACGCAGAAAGCTAGGGCAATACGGTTTTTGCCTTGTTTTATTCTCAGCTTCGTGTGCAATAAAGTAGGAAGTACTTGCACATGCTTAGAGATTATCTTCTTTTGTATATTTACGTATATCCATGCAAGATCTATAAAATTGCTTGGCCTTGAAAATAGCACTGTTGTCCTCCATGTTGGGTGGCTCCTCGAGGACACGTTTAAGGATTATTTTGAGTTGATCCGAGAGTACTTCAAAGGGATTTATAGAGCTTCTGTCCTCGGGTATTACGTGCATGTGGTTCCACGTGCCACAGGCATATTGAAAAAAATCGACGCATGGCGCAGCCGTTTTATCCATCGCTGACAATAAACTTGCAGCTGTAAAATTGTTCGTCCGTTGAACAATACGTTGTTACGTAATTTTTAAAGGCGTTGGATGACCTGCACCCTTCCCGACGGAATACACTTTTTTTTTTGCAATTTTTCTGGCGAACTTACGATGGGATTGATAGAAATACATCGTTTTTGTGTTTTGTTATTGTTTAATAACAATAGTAAATGAAGACTGACGAAGTTTCAAGGCTGCGCATTTTTATCCAGTTTTTCTCAATTTGTTAAAGGAATCGGGAAAGTGGAGAAAAAACGCTGGGCAATGATTGCATTATCACGAAACTTCGTGAGGTATTAAATAGGGATAAAACAG